TACATCTGTGGGGCATTGATGAGTGTTGTGGTGTAGTGGCTACAAGTTGGGCTGAAATCCGCAAGTTCTACAGTTCAAAACCACCAGTGGCTTCATGGGAGAAAGAGTGCTTTCTATTCCTGTAAAGAGTTACAGTCTTAGAAATGAAAAGGGGAGTTCTACTCTGTTCTATAGTGTTGCTGTGAGTCAGTAATGACTTGATGGCAATGAGGGGCATTGATAGGGTTTATGGACCCCAGGTGGATAAGTTACAGCTTGGATGGCTTTGTGGACAATGGGCCTGTTTTAGCCACCAGATTTTAAATTCTTCAATTTTCTTTTTAAACTGTGCCGTATTTTCCCAAGAGGGGGCAAAAAAAAAAAAAAATCACATTATTTATCTCTACCGATGGGTTTTTGGTGTTATGAGGTAGTATTGTTACCAAAATCAGGAGGCTGCTAAAAGGATGCTTTCTTGTTTGCAGCAAATAAATATTTCTGAGCAGAGGAGGTAGCAGATCACATTGGAGCAAATTGTCTAACATCTGAAAGCAAGTTTGTTACTTATATTCAATATGCGTGAATTAAAAAATAGGTACCAGAGGGGTTTGCTAAACAACTCATTTATCTAATTCCCTATTTCATGTGAATTCCCCATTGCTATAGCCTCCCTCCACATAAATTGAGTTTGAAGGGGAGTGCTCTTTCTTTCAGCTCAGCTATTGCCTATCATAAGAGCAAACCCAAATCTCTTCCATCTGATTTGTAGGAGATGGCTAAAGGCCCCTATAGTTTAAATAAGCCATCAGGTTGAAAACGGAAGCAGCTACTGTATTCTTGGGCATGAAAATTGGTTTACTTTTCTTCCAACAGGAGAGGCTTCACTTTTGTCCTAGTGTACTGGTTCCTGGGATATGACAGGTCCTTCCTTCTCTTCCATGGAAGGAGACATTGCACATTTCCAAAGGATTGTTTTCCTTAATCCCCCCTCCCCTACAAGAAATGTTATAAAGATTGCACCTTTCCATGGAATGCTCAGCGTATTTAGAAAACGGTTGCTCTTAAGTGCTAATAGCTGGTAGAGAGAGTGATATCTGTTTTGAAAATAACTAAATCCCGTGTTTGAGACTGATTGATCTTGATGCAGCCCCTCACTCCATCCACCCAGGGTGCATACAAAGGCGCCTTTCATTGGAGTGCAGTAATGGGTTTCTTTTTCCAATCTACATGGTTCCTGGTGACTGAGTGTGTTGTAAGGAGGGTTATGCAGTCTGAATGCTCGCCTAATGACACGGCTTTTTTTTTTTTTTAATAAACAGAAACTCCACTGAAATGATTTCCTTATGGAAAAAAACGCATTAACTGAAATCCAGTCAATAGTGTCATCCTCGCCACACACACCATTTCCATGTCAATACTGTTGTCATAAGCAAGACAGAGTCTGGTTGGCATTTCGGATTTCTTTGTAAAAGCTAAAGCAAGAGGCAAAATAGATCTCATCAAACAGCGTATTTATATATTTTGGACAGGATACAGTACATAAGTTCCATTTCCAAAGAAAACATTTTTTTCTTGCCAGAAATTTTAAATAAAAGCTATTGGTATTTCTTGGCAGTTTCCCTTAATATGATGATTCTTTCCCCCAACCTGATGACCCTGCAGGATAGTACAGGATGGTCCAAGGTGGGCTGTGTAATGAACTAATTCTTGCTTCTAAGAAAGACCCTCTAATCGATTAAATTCTCTAATTTCCCTCCACCTCCTGATGCAAGTCTCCTTCTCCTCTCTCTTCATTTTACTCTTCCTACTGCTGTTCCACCGTTTTCTTTTTCCCTCTTTATCCTCAGCTCCTTCTCCAGTATCATTGTTTCCATCTCTTTTATAATGAGCGCAACCAACAAGACAACCTTGAGCTGATTTCATAATGGAAGGGATTGCAATGAATACGATGAAAGAAGATGTGTTTGCACTGTTGGATGTAAAATGACTATCTGCTTTATAAAACTTCACCCGAATGACAATAAAAAATAAAATATATATCCCTCCCCACACTTACTTCTCACCACTGAGAGCTCCTATGCAAATGAACATAAAATCTCTGCTAAATGACAAAAAGGGAGGAAGATGGGCCTTTCTACTCCCATAGACAGTTCCAATGATGGTCTTGGAAACCCACAGGGGCAGTTCGACCCTGGCCTATAAGGTCGATGTGAGTAGCATCGACTCAACAGCGGTGAGTGAGAAATGAAAAAAAAAAGTTTTAGACCACACAACCGATTTTCATAAAAATATAGTAGAAATTAGATTCTGCCACTAATTAGAAAGCCACAAACAAACTTGAGTGTTAGTGACTGGGGTGTGGGGTAGTGTGGGGAGGAGGAAGAGGAAGGGGATGGACATTTAGAAAAGCCTCCCAGAGTAGACACAGGCTTGACTGTGTCAAACACAGAGGGTGCACGTTTGAATAAAGCACAAGCCTTGCTCTTAGGAAGTTTCGGCTTCTCTTAGTGGAAAGAAGACATAGATATTGTATTTTTAAAAATTGAAAAAGAGCACTGGCTGATCCTGCTGACTTGCATCCCACAAGTTCATAAACGGATCTCTTTCTCTGCTCCTCGCCCTCCCCCCTGTTTTGCATTAATTTCTTCTATAGATTTTGGTGGATTCACTCCTCTTTGGCTGAAAAGGGAAGACTGGGGAACAATTGACACACTAGAATGATGGTGCTGGCGAAGAATATTGAACGCACCATGGACCACCAGAAGAACAAACAAATCTGTCTTGGAAGATTTGAACTCAACCTTGAACTCGACCAGAATGCTCCTTAGACGTCAGGATGGGGAGACTTTGGACACACACCCTTTGGACAAGTCACCAGGAAGGATTAGTCCCTGGGAAAAGACATGCTCGGTAAAATAGAGAATCGGTGAAAAAGAGAAAGAGCCTCAGTGAGAAGGATGGACACGGTCGCTGCAATCACAGGCACAAATATAACAACACTTGTGAGGACGCTGCTGAAAGCAGCAGTATTCCATCTCTCGTACGTAGAGTTGGAACCAAGTTGAGGTCACCTTAATACCATATGGCTGACAGGGTGGTGGGCCCGGGATAGATTGATAAATAAAGCAAGAATACAAAGTAGATTCTAATCTAGCAGAAATTCCAACCAGATAGTAAGGTGTCTTAGTTGTCTAGTGCTACTACCCTGTTTCCCTGAAAGTAAGACATCCCTCGAAAATAAGACCTACTTACAGTTTTGCCTCTTGCTGAAATATAAGATATCCCCCCAAAATAAGACCTCCCACAAAATAAGGCCCCCCAAAAAATAAGGCCCCCCGAAGCTACCATAACTCTGGACTCTGGACCGTAGCAGCGGGGGCTGCCGCGCAGCTCACTGTTGGCCGCAGCACAGCTGGAGCAGACAGGAAGTGCGAGGTCTCTTTTAATAAAACAATAAACAATAAAGGTGTACCATAGTCTTCCTCAGGGAAAAATAAGACATCCCCTGAAAATAAGACCTAGCGCATCTTTGGAAGCAAAAATTAGAATAAGACACTGTCTTATTTTCAGGGAAGCAGGGTATCACACACACACGACTCAAGTGTAATTGTTGTTGGTAAGTGCTATCATATCAGTTCCATTCCATATAGGGACCTTAAGCAAACAGAAGGAAGCACCGCCCAGTCCGGTTTTCTCCTCAGAATCATTCCTATGCTTGAGCCCTTTGTTGTAGCCTGTGTCAAACCATTTCCTTGAGGGTCTTCCACTCCTACCATTTTACAAAACAGGCTGTCCTTTTCCAGGGACTGGTCTCTCTTGACAACATGTCCAAAGTATCTAAGAGACAGTTTCACTATCCTTGCCTCTAATGAGCACTCTAGCCGTACTTCTTCCAAGACAGATTGGTTTATCCTTTTAGCAGTCCATGGTACTGTCGATATTCTTCTTCAGCAACACAATTCAAGTGCACCGATTATTTTGCCGTCCTCCTTATTCAGTATCCAGCTTCCACATACATAGGAGATAATGGAAATGGAACATATCATGACTTGGGTCAGGTGCACCTTAGTCCTCAACATAACATCCTTGCTTTTCAACACTCTAAAAGGGCTTGTGCAGCAGGTTGACCTAATGCAACTCATCTCTTAATCTCTTGACTTCTGGGAGCACGGATTGTGGATTTAACCAACACAAAGTTCTTGACAACTTCAATCTTTTCTCCACTTATTATGATGTTACCTATTGCTCTAATGGAAGACCTGTCTCTTGAAGTTTCTGTAGCCTCAGGGCTCCTCATTTCCCTGGAGAGCCTCACGCTGTCTGTCCTCCCCATTTGTGCTTGCATCTGTATCTCTCCTGCTCTCTTTATAACAACTCCGAAATGCTTAGGCTTAAGACACACTTTCTACTGATTTGACCTGATTAACACAACAAAGAAGGCCTAGTCAGAGGGGTGAGGATTCTAACACACACACACACACACACACACATTTGAGAGGGGGGAAATGAAAGCAAATACCTCTTCTGTAAAAGATCCAAGCAGAAGAAAATCTCTCCAGTCATAATAACTGCTACCGTGTTTCCCTGAAAGTAATACATCCCCCGAAAATAAGAGCTACTTACAGTTTTGCCTCTTACTGAAATATAAGGCATCCCCCGAAAATAAGACCTCCCCAATAATAAGGCCCCCTGAAGCTACCGTAACTATGGACTCTGTTGGCCGCAGCGCAGCCGGAGCAGACAGGAAGTGCGAGTAAATGTACCATAGATTGTTGTACGTGGAAATAATGGTAGTAACAAGAAATTCTTGATACTATAGGATTCACAGTTTGTCTGGTTTTGCTGGTTTGTGATGACAAATACTACCATATCGTATACAGGTAATAAATTTCCCTTTTTGTTGCAATTAATGTGTACCGTATTCTTCATGGAAAAATAAGATATCCCTGAAAATAAGACCTAGTGCATCTTTGGGAGCAAAAATTAATATAAGACACTGTCTTATTTTCAGGGAAACAGGGTATCAGAAATCTAATATGCTATATTATGTCATACCTCACAGAGGATCAGCATTATGTATTCTAATCATCTGACATCCAACATATATATTTTTAGTGAATACAGAATTCAACCCCTAGAATTGGAATTAACAGAAAATTCCACCTTTCTGAGAGCCAGAAGATTGTGGGTAGAAGGTGGCTTAGAAGAATAATGAGGAGGTGTTTCTCTCAGGCTTGAGATTGGTGGAAACAGCTCAGGTAGAACTATAGAGGTCTCTTGGTAGATACCTGAAGAGTTTCGGCCTTTAGGTATGGTGTGGGGAAGTTGTATTCCCTGAGGACGCATGTTATGGGGAGCCCCAAATTTCTAGTGTCCCAATGTGTTCAAGGAGAATGATAGGACTCAATGGATAAATCCTTTTGGAAAATTCCTTACACAATATAGTCCGTGAAGACAACACTTCTCAAATGTTATGAAGTTATGAATCACCTTGGGATTTTATTAACATGCAGTTGCTGACTAGCTCTGAGTGGGGCCTGTGAATTTGCATATCTAACATTCTCTAAATGAATGCTGGTCCCTAAGCTTTATTTTTAATAGCAAAGTTTACAGGAGCATTAATCTGGTCTACTCAGGGTGCTAAGAAAGCCTGATCTAATTAACCCTGTCTCATTTGTCTAACATGGTCATTTGCAAACTACCTAGCTATGGAACACCTATGAAAGCTTTTGAAATGCAACTATGGAAACATTACACTGCTTGCATCATACTATTTCCCTGTCCTGTCAATCACAATGCGTGTGAGCGTGTGTGGATTGGAGCATGCCCTTCACCTAAATCTGTGTGGCAGGTTGTGCTTTGCTGCAATCTCTACAATAATATTTCCCATCCTGTATGAGAAAGTTGTCAACGGCTCATCAAGAGGGGGAGTCTACTTCCCTCCCCTCAAATCTGCGCCTTTGTCAATTATAGACTGGAGTCGTGGAGTGTTCCAGAAGTGTGATTGGCGAGGTTGAATCATAAGAGAGATGATGCAGTTTCACTTGCTCTCCCTCAGGACACTTGGCTCTGAGCTTTCATTTATTGTGTAAAAGGTCTGGTCACCTTGGGGCCAACATGTGCAGAGACCACATGGAGAGAAAGAGAGAGTGAGAGTGAGAGTCCCCGAATCCAGCTCCAGCCATTTGGATCTTCTCAGTCTGAACATTATGTGTGACTGAAAACTCTTCAAGGTGATCTCAGCCCTCAATTCCAAGACACCCACCGACTACAACTTTGATTGGACCATGAAAGCACTTCAATTGAATGGTAAGCTAAGGCCAGTTGAACTCCAGATTTAGAAACAAAATACGTCATTGTTATTTTTTAAGCTATTGCTTTGTAGTGGTTCTTAGGCAGCACCAGTTATCTGTTGCCCCTGAATTGATTCTGACACCTGGTGAGCTCACTATCTCACTATATATATCACAATAGAACTGTGCTCTATAGTCTTTTCCATGGCAATTTTGGAAGTAGGTCAACCAGACCTTTTCTTCCAAGGCACATCTATGTGGATTTGAACCTCCAACATATCAGTTAGAAACCTGACACCTTAGCTGTTTGCACCACCCAATGCAGATTAAAAATATAAATCTTCGAAAGGAGGTCTTGCTTTTTTATATTAACTCAAGGTCAGAGAAAACTTGTTTTAATCTTTGAGCTAAGATTTTTTTTAAAAAAGAGCTACTTTTAGAGAATTGTCCTATAGGTGGAGTTCTCATTGTCTGAAGTTAGAACTCGGAGTTTGGGCACCCTCTCTCTTCAAACACTTTCAATTATAACATGGCATTCCATAATGCCAGATGACAAAATCTGATAAACAAGCAGATACCCATTAAAATGAATGACTGTCAAAAATTTTTCATGCTTTTTGTTATTAATGATTGCAAATGTGAAGGTGCAATTCAAATAGTTTATTATTGTTATATGTTTAGAGCAATATATTACAGTTTACGCCTTGGCTTGGAAGTTGATTACAAGTTTTATGAGACTGAGTGCCTGTTATCAGCAAGCTTGATGTTTTCTTATTCCCTGTAACATGTCACAGCCAATTGATTTATATGTCGTCAATGATTTTTTTTTATATCATATCATTTCAATAAAAAAATTAAAGAAGAAAGTGTGTAGAAGGAGGGCGTAGAAGAAGGCTAATGGAGGCCATGTCAGTTAGAAAGAGAGGTTTGAAGTACATTAATAATGCATATGTTCACTATGGAATCCGTTGTAAAGAACATTTTATATTCCTTGCGGGAGACAAAACAAGGCATCAGAGATTTGATAAACACAGGTGGTGCTTAGTAACTCAGAACTAACAATTTTACCCTCCTGATGATTAGCCGAGATAAATTTTCCCGTGCTCCTGCACTTTTTGAAAAAAGCTGTTGATTCCCTTTCCTACTTTCTCCCTTCTATGATTACTTTCATTCTATATGAAGAGCTTCACTTAGGAGTGCAGGGATACCTAAAGCATCTCGGACAGGTTTTTTGGAGAGCTATTAGCAATTTATTTTACAATGTGCATAGTAATAAAATATGGTATCATATAAAATTTAACAGGCAAGGCCATGCAACTTTTATGCAAGTACACAAAGGTTTCGAGTATGAAGAAAGAATCAGGATTTATATCTAACTAACTAAATAAATGACTGTTTAAAAAGGTTAAACCAAATTCACCCATTTTATCTGTCATGACCACATATTACTTGAGTGGTTTTTCTTAAAGTTGCCTGAGTTGACTACCTTTTCTTTGACTATTGTAATATCTATCAAAGACAGAATATCTATATACGTGTCTGTGCATATATATGGATTTATACATTATGTGTGTATGTACACAAGTTCGCTTGGTTTTCCTTTTGTGTATACATACACATATCTGTATATACATGTACAAAAGAAAGTAAAAAATTATCTACAAAAGAAAAATTAGGAGGACTCATAAAATGATGAAGGCAAACACCTGAATACAAATTCTTAATAGATGAATGAAATGATGGACGGGTCATGGAGACTGGCTTCATCACATTACATCCACTCTTGAAGGAAGGAGATTGTATCGAAAGGGTTTCAAAGAGGAGTCAATGGATCTTAAAGATATGGAAAGGAAAACTAGGAATTGTGTCTAAAAACGTTTGGAGGGACGGAGAAGTAAGACCTATGTATGGATTAGAAGGAATTAGAGGAAAACTGGTTGGGAGACACCAAATGATACAAGAGGGCCTTGGTGCAAAAGATAAAAAAGAAATTTAAACTTACTGCCTGTTGTAGAAAGGGGTTACCTATGAATTCACTGACACCGAGTCGATTCCAGGGCATAGCAACCCTATATGACGGAGTAGACCTGCCCCTGTGGGCTTCCAAGCCTTTTAAAATCCCTATGGAGCAGATAGTCTCATTTTCTGATACGCTTTCAAAGATTAAATCATGGATCACAACAACTTTCTTTGGACATGTTATCAGGAAGGACCAATAACAAGAGAAAAACATCACGTCTGGTGAAGTAGGACAGTGAGGGCAGGGACGGCTCTCAGTGAGATGGACTGGCACAATAATTGCCATAATCGACTCAAACATGCTAGTGCAGATGGCTTCAGCTTTCTCCCTGGAGTGGGTGGTGTGTTTGAGCTGCCAACCTTTATGGTTAGCGGCCCAAGCCTACCTGACAGCACTGTCAGCGTATCCACAAAAGAAAAGACAAGTATTTCAAAGGGACCAGAAAATAGGTCCATGCAGCTGGATGAAATTTATATAGATATTTTCTGCATTACTCTGCAACTTACTGTCTCTAAATTAAATGAAAAGAGAAAGGAGTCTTTAAAAAAATGGCAAGTAATCTGAACAATACATACACACTAAGGCAAATGCTTCCGGAAAGGATGGAAGGAGTCTATGAAACAGCTATGCTAAGACTATGTTTATTTTCCTGAAATGTAGACACTTCTAACGATTAATTTGTTATAATTTCTTAGATTTACAGGAAAAGCCTGCTGTTGAGAACGCATATTTTAATGTGCTATGAGTGTCTTACAATTGAAAAGAATTTGACTATATATTAAAAAAATTAAGATCCTAGAAAACACTTGGTAAAATTCCTTAAAAAAAAAAAAAAGCTAATCTGTAATTGCACAAAACAGTAGATGCTGTTGATGATCACCCCTACACCCTCAGTCTTTCTCTGAGTTCACCTGCAGTTGAGGTGACCAGTACACTTGCATAGGTAGTTTTATAGCTTAAACCACTATGGCCTCTTATTTCTCTGTATGAAATATTTTTCCAGGAGGCTCAAGTCATAGGCTGGTCAGTCTAGAATTACTCAGGATTTAACACCTCCTGAGTGTCTATGGAAACTTACTGTAGTTTCCTTATTCCTCTGTGAGACAATCCTAAGGCATACCACAAACAGCTTCTCAGAAATTGAGCCCCAGTTACTTATACTATTAAATTGCTTCTCAAGTCAACCT